GAGACAGAGTCTTGCTCTATCACCCAGGCTGGAGTGTAGTGGCGCGAGTCTCAGCTCACTCAAGCTCCCCCCTCCAGGTTCATACCACTCTCCTGCCTCAGCCTCCCAAGTAGCGGGGACTACAGGCGCCTGCCACCACGCCTGGCTAGATTTTTTGTAATTTTTTTTTAGTAGAGACAGGGTTTCACCGTGTTAGCCAGGATGGTCTCGATCTCCTGACCTCATGATCTGCCCGCCTTGGTCTCCCAAAGTGCTGGATTATAAGCATGAGCCACGCGTGCCTGGCCTAATTATTGTATTTTTGCTCCTAGAATCTTCTTCTTGTTTCTTTTTTAGGCTTTTCTGTCTCTGTATTGTTATTTATATTCCTGTTCATAATCATTTTTCCTTGAAGTTTTCTCCATGTCTCCTTTTAAGTTCTTGAACATCTCTAAGGCAGTTGGTTTTAAAGTCCTTTCTAGTAGATCTACCATGCAGGAAAAATTTCATTTATTTATTTATTTTTTCTCTTGAATGGCATATTTTCCTGTTTGTGTGCCTTGAGATTTTTGTTAGCTGACATTTGAATTCTGATATAGGTAACTCTGAAAGAAGATGTTCTTCTTTGTCCAGTTTTGCTGCGCTTTTCATTTATGTTTTGCGTTGTTGGTTGTTTTTTTTTTAATGATCCTGAATCAATTGTTTTAAACATAGCTCAAACAAGCAGATTTTTAGTCCTTTAGGGCCTGTCTCCTCTGCATACCCCGGTGACACTGTGCCAACCATTTGATGGCCACGGAGAAGATAAACCCTCCAGCTATAAAAAGGACCCCAATCCTTTGCTGCTCTTCAGAGCTTTCTGATTTAGAAACTTCCCACTAGGCTGCTAAGCAACTTCATCTAGCACATAAGCTCCCTCTCAACTCCCATTCTCTCCCTGGAGTTCTCTTGCTCTCCTCCCGTTCTGAGTAGTGACCTCCAACTCTGTAGCCTCTGGACCCCACACACAAACCCCTCACACACAAACCCCTCAAGGCACTGTCCAAGTGTGCCACTGCCACCTTGTGGTCACATCTTTTTCGTTAATCGCCCAAAAATCATTCACATACCCTACATATGCATGTATTTTTGTTTTTCACATTTAGTTCCCTGATCCATTTGGAGTTTATTTTGTGAATGGTGGGAGTTATCCATGTAATTTTGTCTTTTTCCAGATGGCTAACCAGTTAGTCTTAGCACCTTTCATTGCAAACTGCATTTTTGCCCCAATTGATCTGAAATACCACCTTTCTGAACTGAATTCCCATATGTTCCTGGATCTATTTCTAGATATTCCATTTTATCCCATTTGTCTGTTTCCTGTTCCTATCCACAGCTTTAATTATGGAGGCTTTATAGTATGTCTTAATATCTGTAGGGCATTGCCACTTTTGTTTTTCAGAGTTTTCTGGGGTATTATCAGATGTTTGTGCTTCCATATGAACTTTAAAAATAATTTACATAACTCCATGAATAAGTTTGATAGCTTTTTATTGGGATTGTTATATTTTTGAGTTAACCTGTTAAGAATTGCTATCTATATGATGTTAAGTCATCTTATAGAAGAACAAGGAATTTTCTATTTGTTCAAGTCTATTTTGTGTCTTTCAAGAGTGTTTGTTTTAAAGCTTCTTCATGTAGGTGTTACACATTTTTTGATAAGTTTAAATCTAAGTATCTTTATGTTTCTATTCTACATAAGTTTTATCTTATTACATCACCTTACTGGCTTTTGACTGGTAGATGAATGCCATTAGTTTTTAGATAGCACTTTCACATTCTGTTAACTTATTATTTTATTCTCTAGGGCTTTCCATATATAATATCACATCATCTGCAAAAACAGATAGTTTCCTTCTTTTGCGATTTCTGGGTTTCTTTGTTTTTATTGCTCTTTTTTTTTGAGACAGTAGTTTTGCTCTGTCGCCCAGGGGCTGAAGTGCAGGGTTGCAATCTCAGCTCACGCAACGTCCACTACCGGGTGTCACAGGGATTCGCTGCCTTACCTCCTGCGAGTTAACGTTGGGGGATTACAGGAGCGTGCGCACCACTGGTCCAACTAGTGTTTTTGTTTGGTTTTTTTGAGAGCAGATCTCTATGGCCCAGGTGGAGATGCAGTACGTGATCTTGGCGCCGTCATGCAAATCCGGCCATCCCGGGGGATCCACCACCATTCCGTGTCCGGCGCTCGCGGAGTAGCTGGGACTACAGGCACTCGCCACCGCGACCTGGCTGACTTTTGGGGTGGGATATTTGTTGTAAGTGGAGGTGGGTTTCACGCGTTAGCGAGAATGGGCTGGATTCTCCGACTGTAGATGCGCACGCCTCGGCTCACCGCAAAGCGGGGATTACAGGCGATTAGGGCCAGCACGCCCAGCCAATTGTGTTATTTTTTAATAGGGATGGGTTTTTACTTGTGGCCCAGCGGCTGTCGGATCAGTTCCATGACTCAGTGGACTCACCGCTCAGTGCCCAAGTGCTGCGTTACAGATGGGAAGCGCACGTGCCTAGCTGCAATCTAGGTTTCAAAATTAGCTTTGTTACTTATGAACTGCATCTAGCTGATGCTGTCCAGGTTACACACACACAACACAACAGCAGCACACTTGGCGTAGCTAGGTAATAGGTTAGATCATCGTAGAAAGTATTCAGCTGGAGCTATTTTTGTGGGGAGGCTGGATGTCAAGTAAGTGGACGTGTACGGCGGTGTGTGTTGCATAACTATAGCCCCGGGCTAGCTAGGGCTGAGGAGGAGGATCCTGAGCCCAGGAGTTGCATCCAGTCGCTGCAGCATACATAAGAGAGGACCCGTATCTGTGGAGCGGAATGAATAACATAATAATAAATGAGTGTGGGAATTGTTTTTACAAGAGACTGCAGTCAATGAGTTGCCATGGGAAGAGCAACGTGACTTGTCAGGTCACCTAGGGAGGGGTATTTATATGGTGCATATCAACGATTGTTTGCTTCTTGTCTGAGAAAGGCGGCGTACCACCAAGGCTAGAGTGCAGGGCGTGGTCGCGGTCTCTGCACTGCAGCTCGACTCCGTGGGTTAAGCGGAGCCTCCGGGGCCGACGCATCTCCTGCAGTACGCTGAGACTACAGGACACACCACAAATGGCACTTAATTTGTCTTTTGTAAAGATGGGATTTCACCATGTTGCCCAGGCTGGTCTGGAACTTATGAGCTTGGGCAATGCAAACCCCACCTCAGCCTCCCAAAGTACTGATATTAGAGGCATGAGCCACTGCACCTGGACTATTTAATGGATTTTCTAATAACTGCACTAATATTGCTGCTTTAGGCTAAATTTCACTTGGGGATATTTTCTTAATGTGGTCTTGTCTTTTATTTGCTAAAAGCTAATATAGCATGTTTGAATCCATATTCAGAATTGATATTACACACTTGGCTATAGGTATAGGTAATCATCGTAAGAAAGTATTCACTAATTTCTATTTTTCTGGAGTGCTGATGTCAATAATGGACATTGTA